AGCAAGCCGGTCCAACTGAAATGGTAATAAGTAAATGCAAGTCATAAAGCCTGAATTTCACATCAGAAAAGTATATGATCCATGTGTTTAAAGGTTCCATGTCATGGCCATTTCTACTGATCATAATTCCATTGTTGAGGTCTACTAAAATAGATTTATATTGTTCAATGTTCCAAACTCACATTGGTTTCTCATACAGCATCTCTGTTAGTATGTGTATTCACTCTCTGTCCAAAACGGCTTGTTGGAGCTCCTGCCCCCCCCCCCCCTCCCTGTGAGCCCAGTGGCCTTCTGCGAGACAGCGAGACACAGCTAAACTCAGCCCGAAACCAGCCCGAACACACACACACACCCGCAGCCTGGCTGGGAGTTTGTGTGTGTACTCAAACACCGACTCACAGCCTCGCAGCGTCCCGTCGTCTCAGGGAGGAGAAATCGGCGGAGCTGCAGCTGAGAAAAGATTGAGTGTGTGTGAGGAAGTCTGCAGATTGGTCCATTTGGACCAATCTGTAGACTTAACGTAACGGCTCCGCGGACGTAACGTAACGGCTCCACGGATTGTTCCATTTGGGTATGGGCACGTCACCATACCCAGGAAGAAAACAATGGAAAAAGAGAAATGTCCAACGAGGCGTTCTGGGGCAGCACAGACAGGTATTTTCTGTGTTAGAGTTGTACTCGCTACAGTGTGTACTTTGAGGGTTTGTGACTCTGCAGACCTTTTACATGCAGAAAAAGCTACATAACACACAAGGGGACAGGTGATAACCAGAAAAGCATGACATGGGACCTTTAAGAAAACATGATGAAGTATGTTTTATTTACCTGTAGATTGAACGTAAATTAATAGGAAGTATATCACTCTTTCAATTATCAATAGTTCTGAGTCCTTTATAAGTTTTATGAGCATTTTAGCCTGTGTTTCTTTCTCTAGCAGGACACTAAATAAAGAAGCCTTAAATTGATGAAACACTAAATATGGGGCCGATCAGTGGGCTGCTTTCCGACTATTTAAAGATGTATGTAGTCAACAAAGGTCCAGTGTATAACGTAAGTAAAAGTTAAAATATTTAAAGTTGTGTTACCACTTGTGCTTACCATTTTGAAGCTGGAGTCTAGGACATGTGTGCCGTTGCAGTTTTTCTTTATTCTTTCTTTCCACTCCTTTTCCTCAGCTGCAAACCTTTTTCTTTCTTTAACCAGTCTGTCCTTGTGTGGCTGTTGGGTCCCACATTTAGGACATTTCTTGCATGCAACAAAAATCTTGTCCTGGCATGCCACACATTTCTTGACATTGCGTATCCCCGACATGTCTGCAACAATAGAATGAAGTTCACAGTTAGCTAGTTCTTGATAGTGACTTTAAAACATGAATGTTAGACTGTGTATGTTGTGCAATATGGTGCTGGTCAAGTGTTAGGAGAGCTATTTCTTGTATAGCCTATAATATTGCATGTACAAATGTACAGTGTTTGTGGGTAGCCTATAGCAACAAGTTATATTTACAGGTAACATAAATGTACATAACCCTTCTCTGTGAAATCTTCTCATGAAACGTCTGTATCAAGATGGACCGATTGCAAACACAACTAATGTTACTATCTAGCTCATATTACGTTCATACAATAAATGTCTTACCCGTTGACGTTCTGAAGAGTCTGGACATGCACCACAGTCCGCCAAAACGTACCGCACTCCGCCGAAAAGTTACCGCAGACTGCCAAAAATGAGCAACGACTGTATAAATCCCGCGTAATTATTTATTTTTCCCTGCGGCTCTTAGGGAATTGTAGTCTTTAAAATATATTTGCGTTTTTAAGTAGCCTATGGAATTGAGAGTATTCTGACAAATCTAAGGGGATGGTTAAAACATTTGCAAATCACATTTTAAATGTCCTATTGTAAAATGGGGGATATTGAATTGTAATCATATTTGTGTTCTTTGTCTCCCTGTGGTTGCTGTGTGTCTCCTTGTAGTCATGTTGTGTCTCTTTGCAGTTGTTAACCATCTCTCTATAGTTGTGCATCTCTTTGTGATAGCTGTGTGTCTCTGTGGTCTCTTGGCAGATGTTTTGCATTTATTTTTTTGTTGATTTGGTCTCTATGTAATGTTTTTGTGTCTCTTTGTAGTTGTTTGCTATAAATTGAAGCATTGATATTTCAAATGTATTCTGTTATTGATAAAAGTTTAATATAGAAAAAACTCAGGCAAACAATAGTAGCACAAACGGACAAGATATAAGTGATATAAATTATTATTCATGTTTTTGATCACCACAAATCATTAATTAAATGTGTATTTCTTAACTTAATTAAAACTATTTTTGGTTTACTACATCGGTTTACAGACATGGGTAAAACATGACCCATGTATAAGTGTGAAATGTGTGAAATAAATGAATTTCTCTCTCTCTCACTCTCATCTCTCCTCTCGCAACTGCTCTTCTCTCTACGCTCACTCTCCTCACTCTCTCTCTCGCACTCTCACTCTCACTCTCACTCTATCTCTCTCACTCTCTCCTCTCTCTCACTCTCACTCCTCTCTCACTCATCTCTCTCTCTCAACTCGCTCTCTCAATCTCACTCTCCTCTCGTCCTCACTCTCTCTCACTCACTCTCTCACTCTCTCTCTCTCACTCACTCTCTCACTCACCTCTCACTCTCTCTCTCACTCTCTCTCTCTCACTCCTCTCACTCTCTCTCACTCTCTCTCTCTCACTCTCTCTCTCTCACTCTCTCTCTCTCTCTCTCTCTCTCTCTCTCACTCACTCTCTCTCTCTCACTCTCTCTCTCACTCTCTCTCAGAGTGTGTACAGTAGGCTGTGTGTGTGTCAGGTTGAACGAAAATGCCACTTTTAGGTTAAGGTTAATTATTTTTCTCATTGCCTGAAGCTAATGAGATGCAAGGTTACAACTGGGAAAGAGACCAGTCTCTCCTCACTTGATAATGAACTTTGGTGAAGGTCAAGAAGCGGTCAATGTGACGTAACGCCTCCAGGGCACGTGTGTGGAAGTATGATCCCGGGGTCTGATAGATATTAATATGAGGATGTGCGAAACAGACAAACTAATAAGGCTTAATTTAAACATTAAAGAATACTTTAGGTCAAGGTCTTCTTTTGAATAAGAAAAAAGCTTTGGGGGTATAGAAGAAGAATATGGAGGGATGAATCCCTCTTTAATGGTCACACAGAGCACAAAGCACACACAGTGACATTTGTATCTACAGATAAATATTAAGCCTGACAAATTACTTAACGTCTAATATATTGCTTTCCTGCAATGTTAACTGTGTTGAAGCACTTATTTTAACTGATATTATACATATGTATTATACTCTTATAAGATGTATGTAGATAGTATAAGACATGTGCAGAATATGACAGTTGAATGGTGGAGGTATACACACATATTGATAGATGTCTTGTGGACTGTTGAGGAACCTGCAAGTTTTTCATTCTGCACTGTAGTTGTGATATGTCAATAAACCTTAGAAAATCTTGAAATCTTGAAAGGGATGTGCAAAATAGTCATTATATACAGTCTTTAACTAACTATTAGTAGAGAATAACGAGTAATGAATATACTTTATAGGGATCCTATTAATATCTAATAATAAAAATAATGAAATTCAATAACATGCTTTAACCACTAGGTGTCCCTTTATATCGGTTGTGCACCTTTATGGTGTAAATACAGCCTATCTACCAATTGGATCAACTATAAAAGTCAGCCGAATTAGTGTTGATACTGCAAGGAGACGTATTGTGTGAAAATAAATGTAAGATGTTGTTTAATTGCTTATATATTTATGATCCACGTCACGTTTTCAGTTTTGGCGGCAATTGTTCCTGTTTGTCTAAGTGTTCTCATCAGGGCTCTATAAATAGAGAACTACGGCAGATATGTAATATTTAATGCAGCCGAACCGTGTATTACAATGCCGTTGTGTGATGAATTTCAAGGAGAAAAGCAAGCACACTCGGAATAAAGTATTATTATTTTTTTTTTTTTAAATGTTTTTGGATTTCACATCGTATAAACACCAAATCCCAGCGTGCATTGCGGCTAAACCATCCAATCATCGAGCTGAGGATCTTGCGTAGGCCTAAATCTGTTTCCGGTATTGTTAATGACGGATGTATTTTGTTATACACACATTCCTTCACATTTACATTAAACTATTTTGTGAGGCCTTCTAATATAACATGTTTTTAAATATAATTACGGTTGTAAATTAACATGAACCGAAGCTGTTGCCTGGCAACGCAATCTCACAATGTCACGTCCGTTAATTCCACATCCACACCCAACACGCATGAATTAACATCGATTTAATACATTGATGTAGGTAGCATTTGTTTCTGCTAAAAGAGGTGTCGACCAGCTGGGGCAACAAGATAATCGGCGTAGTCGAGTGTGACTATTACAAAATAAATCATTATTATCTAAATATTGACAATAACAACCGACCGTCGGGGTAGCATTTGCTTGGCATTTCCGGGTATTTCTCCACTGGTTAACATGGGTTAACAATACCGTGTAACTGTCACTTTTGAAGGGACGAAATCGTGACAGCATGGTAAATCGTCACATGTTCATTTCTTGCCGTGATGCCGGGTTGATTTCGACATAGACATGAAGTATCTCCCTCACTAGTAATGGATGACATGGTCAAGTAATGTTCACATTTTATGTAGGCCTACTGTTATATTTCACAAGATATCAAAGTAATTTGTTGTAAAGATAATTACAATTAAAACTCACTCGGATCACTTTTGACCCATGTTGTGTATCAAAGGGTTAAAAGACAATTCTATGTAAATTATGTGTGAAAAAACCGGGCTACATATGCCCAGAAAATAAACATATTTAGTCAGAGGTTTCAGGGGGAAAACAATCCATAGTTTTATTATTACTTATCAGAAGTGTACGTATGTCGGATTGCTATGGTTACTACGTTATACACGCGTGACGTATTTCCTCATCCTGAAGGTTCCCGCCCCGTTGGAGGTGAATCGGACTGTAGAAGCAATATTTTAGCGGTTTATCTTCTTGGATACATTCCGAACTGTCTTTATCAGAAGTAAGTATGTATGTTAACAATTCTGTCATTCAAACCAACGTTAAAGGACGGTGTAATCAGCATTAAATGTGTTTGAAGCTAACCTACCTGTTATATTGTTCAAGGTAAAGTTAACGAAAAGAGAAAGGAAACATAATGTTTTTACCGTTAGATTTCTCTTTTTTGTTTTGTTTTACTTTGTACAAACATACTAATAATACAATTGTTTGAAATGCAGTTTCTGTTTGTGCTACCAACAGATACCACAGACCAAGTTTGATTTGTGTCTTCCTCAACGAAACCATGGCTGGGCGACAGGCACCTCGAAGGACCTCTCCAAACTGGGATGAATCTGATACTGATGAAGACCAGGAAGAAATCGACAAAGTTAAAGCTAAACTGGGTGAAAAACTACAAGCTAAAGAGGTTAAGTAATCCTTGAATTGATTGTTTATAAGATACATTCTTGGGTTTATGCAGCAGGTACTTTATGTAATATGTCATCAATAATGTTTTAATCAATGCTTTTAAATCCGTTGTGTAATGTCTGAATGTACAGTACTGCTCTAACTAGCTTGTATTGTAACCCCTGCACACACACAGTACAGTATACACATGCCGTAACTTGTAACTTTCCAACAATCTTTGTCCAAAAACATCTTCAACAAATGTCCACTTTGTCTAATAGAGATTAACAAATGCCAAAAGTAAACCTATTCACGTCTGCAAACATCCTATTAATTTCACCAATACAGTTGTATATTCCAACTGTATTTGTGTTGGATACAGGAAACAAAAAAGTTTAATCTAAAGGGAAAATAGTATACTATGTCCATGGACATCTCTACGTAATGGTCTATATAATGACGAAATAATTAACTTAGTTTCAGTATTCAGCACAGTTTAATGTTCCATTTAAATGTATGGATACTTCTCTTTAACTCTCTTCTTTGTATTACCATGCTAAATAGGACCGTCAGCCTGCAGTAAAATGGAGAAAAAGAGACCAATTTGGGCGGCTGATTCTAAAGAGTCGCAGTTCTTCAAAACGTATGTTAAGCCAGATCATACTGTTGCATCTGTGTTTTTCTGTTGTTTCTTTTTTGAAAATGTAATTCTTTAATTACTATTCTTGTCTTCCTAGTGCACGCCAAACGTCAGAAGAGAACTGGTCAGTCGCAGTTACCAAATATTTCTGCAGAATATGTTGCAGACAGGACAGAAGGTAAGCTCTTTTATCAGTGTCAACATTTTGCTAGTTTGTCCTTTTTTTTAGGTGTTTTGCATGTGAGTATGGGGCCGTATGTACCTGGCACATGTGTCACTTTGAGAGTAATATGATTTTAAATGAAGTACTACATGTATTGCAATGAAAATTATTCGTATAGTGCTAAATGAACATGGAAAATAGGGATGCAATATTGAGTCAACGGTCACAGTTTAAGTCAAATGTAGTAATGATGAATTCCCTCTATGTTTTGATATGCAGGCACAGTCACCTCTGAGGTGCAACAGACCCACAATATGATTGGTAAGATTCTATATCAAAATAGTTATGCCACCATTTCCGTTATTTTTATTTAGATAATTGTATCCATTTAATAAACTCATACTTACTCACTTCAGTGTACATCACAATATATTTAGTTTAATTATAATTTCATAAATTGAACACTAATATATTTCTGCAAGACATTTTGCAAGTACATTCATAAAACTTAATTTTGAGCAATTGTATTGTTCCTTAAAAATAATTTGGTGAACATGACATTACAGTTTTTAATCTCACTCAATTAGTTTGTTTACATGGACATGAATAACACATTTATGAGGCAATATTGTGTTCACATGTGCAAACACATAAACAGCATACTCTAATAACCCTATTATAAACGGGTTATTCATGCCCATGTAAACACAATCAATTTTAATAACCACCTGAAATTTTAAGTTGTTTTCTGACTCTTGAGGCTTTCTTTACCATCTATTCTGTCTTGCTTACACCTGTTATCCTCATTTCCCAAGACCTTCATATACAGGAACTGCAAAAGATGGTTGATGCAGTTGAGGAGGATGTTGCCGGATGTTCAAATTCCACAGAAGCCTCATCTGGTCGAACATGGACAGTACGTCAGGCTTTATCTGATGAAAGATGGCGGAAAGCAAGACCTCAGCTTCTTGAAGCCATGCTTGAGGCAGGAAAGATCCCGAAGGGTCTTTGTCAACTGTGCAAAGCTAAAGATGCAGTCATTTGTTGCACAGACTGCCTTCCACAACCCTTGTTGTGCCCCAAATGTGACATAACTGTACATCGGAAGTACAGTTTGCATAACAGATGCCTATTTGTAGGAGATAGTTACAAAGCTCTTCCTCCTACTGATATTATCACTGAAGATGCTAGTGGTCAGCCATCACCGTGTGAAGAAGGTATATACTGTATCGACCTTTTTGACTAAAATGACTTTTCAATCCCATCATAATGTATGATATACCTGTACTTGCCCAGTAGAAGTAACCATTATCCCTTTATGTTTTACATAGTTCGTCTCCTGCCATTTGCTTTGCCCAGAAAGATTTGCAGCTGCAATGCAGACAATGTGTCATTGAGTGGTGGGCAAAAAGTAATCTTCATCAACATAAATGGTAACATATCTTTGAACATTTGTAAAAGTACAAATACATTTTCTTACCTTTATTGTGACTTTGATTTGACTTGGTGCTTGTCCCAACAGGTCGTTATGACCTCTCTGTTCCTCTGCTGACCTGTGAGAACTGCCACTGCCAGTGGACACCACAGATCAAAGATTTGATCTCAAATGGATACTGGCCTGGAACAATTGAATTCCAAACAGTTTTTTCCATCGATCTTTTTGCCACATATGAAGATCTCAAAATCAGTGCACCTGGTCTGAGTAGACACGCTTTCATTCGAATGCTGGAAAGTCGCTCAGTTCGTGCTGGCAGGGTAATGCACATTTTGATACATTATACAAATTGTGTATTGTATTTTAGATTTGGCAGATAAAGTGAATTTGTGCAATAATTTGCAAAAGGACTTGGAGGAAAGATAAAGAGATATTATACTTAATCCATGCTTTATAGTATTTGCATGTTGACATGTATCTAGCATTTAATTATGAATTCCTACTTATTAGGCTGGGATAACATCTGGTGACAATTTCCAAAGAAGTTTCTTGGAATGGACATATTGCCGGCACGAAATTGATAAACTTCTTGGAGATGACCATTTCTCATGTCCTGCCTGTGGTGATGACATGGTCGCAGTGTCTCTGGACGGCAACAGAAAAATGTATCGCTTCAATCGTCAGGGGTAAGTAGCAAGAAAGCAAAATGGGCTATTATCTTTATATACTATATTCCCCAATCAAATGCTTTTTTCTTCATAGGGCGGTCGAATGCCCATACTTTGAAGGAACTTTCATTGCCAAAGACACAGATGTTGAAGGATTTGTGCAAAGGATTTGAGACAAAGTAAAACCTGTGAGTTTTACTGTGACTTGTCTCATAGCATGTTCTATGTGGTAAAGTTATTGTTGTTTTGTATGATGTAAAATGCATGAGATGTAATTACTTGGAATGTCTATTGTAATGCTTTTTTCAATAGGCACCTGGACGCCCATCCTGCGGTAAATCCAACTTCAAAGCGGGCAGGGAGGCTACCAGAAAGTCAGAGGCCAGACTGGATGAAGAGGGAATGATGACATCTGTCTGCAGACACTGCATTCTATTTAGTGGTAAAATAATGTATTTTAATTGAAAATCCATTTACATATTTGTTGTACTTACAAAAATGCCATACTAAAATGGTCTTTAAATATTTGAATACCAGTTATGATTCACAAGTAAGTATGCACTTTCATGACAGTAATAACTTATCTTTGTATTTTTTAGAATATCCATTAATATAGTAATGAAATAAACCCTTTTCAAAGAAATCTATCTTTGTTTTGGTTGCAGGCCTCAACATGTTTCGTGGGGAAATCTTTGCCTACCCTCTCTACCTACAGCAAGATCTTGGAAAAGAACACAAGATTGAGTTTGTTTGCACTGACGTCATGTGTAAATACTACCCATATATACAGAGGGTAGTTGAGTCCTTTCCAGAACTGCAGTATGTCCTGCAAATGCGGCCATTTCTGTCAGTGATGCATGCGAAAGGTCACTCGACAAAATGCGAGGTATAAATGTAAATGTAATGTTTTTTATCGTTTTTGGTTAATAGGGTATTTTAATGTCTAAACTGACATAATTCAATTTATTGTTGGTTATTCTCAGGTGGAGTGGAGTGGTCGCAACCAGGAAGGGGCAGGACAATGATATTCTTTCGGTAATACAAAAAAAAAAGTAAGTGTCTGTTTCAAATTGCTCTAGGTTTGACAGTTGGAGAGGAAGTGGAGGCTGTCAATTCATACCTCTCTCGTGTGGCAACGACCACAAAATACATGTCCAAAGCAAGTGAGTAGTTGTTTTAACATCTTATTGTGGCTCAAGTACAATTCTAAAAAGTAAAACAATATGTTTCAGGACGTACTGACATGATAACGATACATGCTCGTGGATGGAACTTGAGGAAGAAGCAGAACTTGCACAGATACCTGTCTCAACGATATGTGAAGGTAAATTTGTCATGTAATTTAATAGCTTTTTTCCCAATATACAATACAACAATGTGCATACGTTTTGGCTGCAACTCTTTTCTTAAACATAGACTAAATATATTCGGTTGCTCGACAACAGCTTAGTGAAAATGTTTTGACGGTCATGCACTGATGTTGGTCAAACTATTTTTGATGCTTTGATGTCCTCGTTAAGTCCTGTGAATGTGTTCATTGATGACCTAAAGTATCTGTTAACTTTTAATTGAGGCTGAAACTTCTAACTGCTACTATAACAACTCAAATTGAACAGCCGACAAAGAAAACACTAGTGGTAGGTGTTGTTTTCTGACAATGATACAAATGTAATGTATAACATTTTCAGACCAAGAAAAGGACTGATGAAATGGACAAGGACATTCAAAACCTGCAAACAAAACTGCAGACAACAGAGGAGGGAATGAAGCAGTGGGTGAAGGAGGTTGAGGAGTGGGCTGCATCAAGTAAGATTTTTCCTGTAGCTACAAAATATTAACTGTCAACTGTTTGTTGACATTTTACATTTAAGGAAATTGTGTTAATTGACAATTGAATGTTTACATTAAGGTCCAAAATCCACCAACTGCCAGGATCAACAGGGGCTGCAGCGGGTCATGGAGGGCCTCGCCCTCAAAATCAAACAGCGGAAAATTGAGCTGTACAGAACCATAGGTGTGTTAATATTATTATTATTGTTATTGTATTATTTTTGAAATAACGCTTCTCTTGTCACTTTCACGGTTACAGTAATTTGTGGCATGTTCAGAGTAAGAGAACAAATTATTTTGATATTTTTTACGTTTGCACTTCCTGTCATTTATAGACAATAACAAAGACCGCAAGCCCAAACGGGATATCATTGCAAAGAACAAGCGGAAACTGGAGGAGGCGATTGCAGTTTACAACAACCTTGTGCCAGACACAGAGGCTGTTGATACAGCAGATGCAGTCCTAAGTCAAGACTTCCCTATTTGGCCATGGGATTCTGGTACATGCATTTTTCTGCACTTAACAAAGCGGGTATTTTTATATCTTTGCTGTTTTTTATACTGTTTTTGTTTGACATGATCAGTCATGCAGTCTATTTAAATCTTCCACACAATTTTCCATATGTTATTTTGTCACTTGTTCTTAAGGAGTAATATAAGTTTTAATTTATTAACAACGATGGAAGTTTGTTTTCATTACTGTTAAAGAAACTCAACATAATCACTTCGTTATAGCATCCACAGTCCCCCTCGAGACAAACAAAATGGCCTTTGACAAAGTCATGCTGCTCTCTCGACTTCGAGAAGAGGATGGGATTCTCATCAAAGAGATGAAGAACCATTGCCGCTACCTGACAGGATCTTCCAGAGCTGTGCAAAGAGAGATCCAGCAGATTGAGAAGGACCTGTGTAAACAGAGTAGGTATTTCACTGGAAAATAATGATCATTATCGATATAATATTAACCCTTTCCTCCTTTTAGGCTGTCCTTTTGCCATGTCCTTGGAAGCATATGAGGGGCTGAAGGATTTATTGAAAAAAAGGCTCCAGGAGATGGACAAACAAATGGAGGAGGCCTTCAGCACATACAGGTGAGTATTTATTTGGGAGAAATACGCTGAATTTAGTTCTTGTTTTGAGTAGAATTAATTGAATTGATGATTGATTGATTGCAATCTATCTACACATGATGCGCATATAGATTGAATGGAAACAATGTCACATTAATAACTTCACATCAATATAAACCAACATTGATGTTACATATGTGTATTCTTATATGTAGATATCCTTCACTATTGCTTGTATATATACGACTGAAAGAATATTCTTGATAATCCATCAAATGTCTGTAGACAGACTGCAAACTATTTATTGACATTTTTAAATGTATTGAACTTTTTCTGGTACAGGACATAAATACTCCATACCAGACTCTACAACATAAAACAAACAGACCATATACAGTATATACATTGAGTTAATTGTACATACTTACTTACTGTACACACTTACTGTATATATATCAGGTCCAACACTTACAGAACATTAGATGAAGATTTTAGTACTCTTGATATGTTTTTATTTTTTACATTTATGCAAGTTAATGCAATGTTTACCTCAACATTCCTTAATGTTACCTCGAAGGTATTTAAACAATTTAGATTTGTCTAATGTTAAACTTTCCAATGCTGTCAGTACATAAAGACTAAGAACCTGGATACTAACCATGACAATAAATAATGCTTTTATATGCAGGAATGTTTTGATGGACCCCACTGCCCTACAGGAGGAAGACAATGAAGGAGAGGAGGAAGTGTGGGATGCGGAGATCTGTCTCACCCTTGATGACACTGACTCCTCTGATGATGAGAAGCAACATTAGCCTCTTCCACTACACTAGGATGCCGACGTCCTCGGCCGACTTTCCTATCTTGACAGGTTAAAAGGTTAAAGGTTGATGTTCCAGGAAAAAATGTGCATAGTAAAGTGTAATGGTTTGTTTGTTGTTGATGTAAACATTATGACTGAATAAAAGCACACTGTTTGATTATGTATTTGTTTTTATCTTCTGTCAGAATAAGTATTGCTATTGTTTTACATAGTATATCCTTTAACAGCCAGAATTATTTCTCGAAAATGGTGAAGGTTTGTTTAAGAGAAGGCTGTTCCTTTAATGAGAGTTCACATTTATGCTACATTGAAGGGTGGAATTGACTACACATCTTCAGAAACATAATTTGCTTCAGATATAACTCATAGCAATATGTTAACCATTAAAAAAAGCCAACTGCATTAGTTAACAAACACTCGGTGAAGTATTTTCCTTCAGTAATGAAGATGTAATTCCAATGTAGACACACCTGGGGTTGCTGTTCAGACTGTTAGGCTGAGCCATGCATTGTCTGGACCGTAAAAGTGACGAAGAAGACAAAGTGAAGTGACGTACTTCCGGTTGAAAATGAAAAAATAATCCCAGTGCAAAATCAAATCGCTAAATAAAAAGATAAAACACTGGCATGTAATTTACGTTAGAATACATTTAATGGTTTTGAATAAGCCACAGTGCCTTAATGTACCAGCGAAAGAGGCTGTTTGGATGATCATTTAAAAGTGTGTAGTTATGACATGAAACGACTACAAACAATATGGTGGTTATTTACCCATTAAGCAGCATAATAACGGATTTGGTAAACTGAACAGTGAGCCGCCAGCCCGAAAATAAATTTGCTCCAAAATGATATTAACAAATTACTATTATCATTATTATAAGCAAGACAATAAATGGCAAATATATAGAACATAAACGTATTTGAGATACGTTCATAACAAACGTTACTGAGAGAAAATAGGTTTCTAGAAGATATGTAGAACTTGAACGTTTTTGAGATACGTTCAAAACAAACGTAACGTGGGAGAAAATACGTTTCTTCCTAAACGTAATTGAGAATGCAGCATGAAACGACTACAAACAATATTGTGATTATTTACCCATTAACCAGCATAATAATGGATTTGGCAAACGTAACAGTGAGCCGCCAGCCCGAAAATAAGTTTCCTCTAAAATGATATTAATACATTTCTATTATCATTATTATAAGCAAGACAATAAATGGCAAAGATATGTAGAAAACAAACGTATTTGAGATACGTTCATAAAAAACGTAACGTGGGAGAAAATATGTTTCTAGAAGATATGTAGAAAACAAACGTATTTGAGATACGTTCATAAGAAACGTAACGTGGGAGAAAATATGTTTCTAGAAGATATGTAGAAAATAAACGTATTTGAGATACGTTCATAAGAAACGTAACGTGGGAGAAAATATGTTTCTAGAAGATATGTAGAAAATAAACGTATTTGAGATACGTTCATAACGAACGTATCGTGGGAGAAAATACGTTTCTTGCTAAACGTATTTGAGAATGCAGTTTAGTTCTGTGGGAACGTAATTTTTAGGAGACAGGGTTGCTCTCACACACACACACACACACACACACACACACACACACACACACACACACACACACACACACACACACACACACACACACACACACACACACACACACACACACACACACACACACACACACACACACACACACA